TAAGTGTCCAGCAGCTCTTGCACATTGCTGACTCAAAATGAATATTAAACACCCAACTTCACAGAGGCCAGCCCTGCAGGGCACGCAATGAACCAACCCTGCTCATGCCTGTTCATTATTATAATTAATATTGAGCCGGGGTTGGTGGTGACCTCGCCCTCGCCAGGTATTTGGGCTATTTTAGAAGCTTATTCAGATCAATGACAGACAGCTCCGAATAGATAAACTCCCCGCCATCCAGACGAATCAATTGCAACACTGCCGTCACAACAAGCCCAAGAAATCAATCTGATTTCAGGCGACATGGTAACTCAGCACTGGGCAAGGGGGTTTTAATTTCCGCGTGGCTGAGGCCCAGCTTCCTCTGCTCACTGTGAGCTCCCCCCTTTCCCAGCTGGGCTTCCAGGCACACAGGTGTCCTGGCCCTCAGAGGGTTCAGGCCGAAGCAGGTAGCTGCACGGGGCACAGGGTGACCGGGAGGCTGCGTGACTTTGAGAATGGCTCTCGAACCCCCAGACCCAGAAGGAGCTGACTCAGATCCACCGCTGAGATCCTTGTCTTGCTGGCTTCAGCTCTGATTTTTCGCTGCCCTCTGCAAAAACCAAGCCTGGAGGCCTTTCTGGGCAGCTTCCCGAGCGCCAGAGCTGCAGAGGTGGGCTGCCCACCTCAGGCTGCAGGAACAGGGCCTTTCTGGGTCTTGGGGATTGCGTTTGTCCAGCCCAAAGCTCCCCGGACAGGCATAGCCGCCGCATGGGTGCTTGTTTTCTGCAGGCACTGTGCTAAGTAATGTACACGCTTCAACTTCTAACTAAACTTGCGTAACAACCCAGAGAGCTCGGGGGCCCTGATCCACACTTGGCAAGCGGGAAAGCAAAGCTCAGCAGGATTAAGTCACTTGTCCTGAACCACAGCTTGTAAGGGGCAGAACAGAGATTTGAACTCATGTCTTGCCCAAGATTCAGGCCCCACACCGTCCTAAAGATGCCATCAGAGGTGTCCCCCACTCACCCCCTGCCTGGATACAGCCTGGTTAAAGGAAGCCAGGGCTTTTCCTCCAGGCTGCCCAGGAAGGGGAGTCTTTTTCATGAATTCTTGTGGTCGAAAATTGTTCTCTGACCTTTTACCTCCCTACTTGAGTTACTGGTCTGAGGTCTGAGATGAGAGGGTCAGGACGCTGAGCTGGCCGCCTTCCCACACCCCGGCTCTGGAGCAGTGGGGGCTGGGACAGGCGGCACTGTGTTGAGCAGGGTGATTTGGCTTTGGAGTCAGCAGATCTGGGTCCAAATTCTAGCCCGGTCACTTATTAACTGACCACCCCCTCGCCTGGGGCACCCTCTTGGAAGTTGCCTACCCCATCTATCTGGTGGGGATGGTATAAGCCAAAGCCTCGGAGGGCAAGGGCTTGAGAGGCTCAGTGCAGGTAAAATGGCCGGCATGGAGTAAGCACTTCATTCATTTTTCCCTCTCATGCCCTAGGTGCTCCGTTCTCAGTGGCCCAGGTCAGGGCTTTTCAAATACGACTTAAAAAAAAAATATTATTTACTTGAAAGGCATAATGACAGAGAGGGAGGGGGAGAGAGAGAGAGAGCGAGTGAGAGAGAGAGAGAGAGAGGGTGAGAGAGAGGAGAAAGAAATCCTTCATCTACTGGCTCACTTCCCATATGGCTGCAAAGGCCCAGATGAAGCCAGGAGCTGGGAACTCTATCCGGGTCTCCTATATGGGTGGGAGGGGCCAAACACTTGGGCCATCTTCCACTGCCTTCCCAGGTGCATTAGCAGGGAGCTGGATCGGAAGCGGAGGAGCCAGGACTCAAACTGACAGTCTGATCCAGGATGCCGGTGTTACAAGTGGCAGTGTAACCTGCTGTGACACAGCGCTGACTCCAGCTAAGGGGCTCCTTACTTACCAGCGAGGCAAGCACAGAGCACAGATGAAAGGGAGCTGCTCAGATGGTGACGGGGCCGGAAGCCCCCTGCTTCACTCCCTTTCTCACCCCAGCCCCACGGCAGCCCCTCGGGGGCCTCCATAGAGCCCTGGGCCAGGGTGATTTGCTGGCTCTGGCTCTCTCTCTCTGCCACAAGCCCGATCTGGATTTGCAGCATGACATACAGGCGTCAACTAGGCGAAGCTGCCCCTGGCCGCGGGAGTCCACCTATAATGTCCGCTTGGGGTTCAACATCGTGGCTGGGGAGGTGCAGATCTGGGGGCCAGACGGGCCTGGAGTGCGAAGGGGAGCTTCTGTCCAGGCTGGGGAACAGTGGGCCGGCTCTCCCAGGAAGTAGGTGCCTGTTCATCAGGCTTAGCACCTGTGTCCTCCTGAGAGCCGAATGGACCTCAGGAACCTGACGCCCAGTGTGGAGAGCGACACAGGACACCACACAGCCAACAACCTACAGAAGGGGATTCAAACACAGAGACCTACACGGCTCCAGGAGACTGGGGTTCCCCACAGCTCTCTCTCCTCCCGGCAGCCCTTTCATCCACCAGTACAGAACAGGAAGAGAGAAACCTACCCGACAGCAGGATTAGCTACTGGGAAGGACTTCCTAGGTTATTAGTCAGTGTGCTGTCTCCGGAGGGGCTTCCAGTGGGGTCTCAGCTCAGCTGGGCCCCTGTGGCTTCCATCTCTTAGAAGCTGCTGAGAGACAAGATGACCCTGGACACCCGTGGCTTTGTCTTTTGCAACTTTTATATTCTGGGTATGAAGTACCTGTATGCGGGGCAGAAAATCAAGGCACCAAGGGTTGTCCAGGGAATTGTCCCCCGGCTCCTGGTCTCCCAGTTCCCCTCCCCAGAGGCCAGCAAGGTGACCTGGTTCTTGCCTAGACACAGACAAGCAACTAGGGAGCAGGTTCTCTTTCCTGGGTTCTATTTTAGCACCGGGATGCGGCAGACCCTGCACACTATGCCCCGCCTCGCTCTGTCACCTGACAATATATCTTGGAGATGACTCCGAATCAGTACATAAAGAGCTGCCTTACTCTTAGCGTCTTTTTATGGTCACAGGCTTCTCAGGAGCTCAGGAGTAATCACATCTGGTTTGATTAGCTTCACATTTCCCTTAAAGACATCCCCGCCCAGAGAGGGCAGGAAACCTCTCCAAGGTCGCGCAGAAAGGAGCAGGGGCGTGCGCTGGCCTTCTCCCTCTCCTCTGTCCCCAGCTCCTACCCCCAGCCACCCGGAGGCCGAGCGCTGCCCAGCTGACCAGCACACAGGGAGGGAGGCGTCTAATTGCAATGCTCTCCGCGCTGCGTTTGCGGTCGGCGCCGAGCTCTGGGCAGCACGCGGGCGGGGCGGCGGGGCGGGCGGCGGCCGAGTGCCCACGTGGGTGCAGGCGAGGCCGCGCCGATTCCCCGGGAAACCGCGCGCCGCGTGCTGCCCCGGTAATGAGCTCCCAGGGCCCGAGGTGAGCTTCCCATAGCTGCTCACACGGCAGCCGCGTGGCACCAAAGAACACGGGTATTTTTTTTTCTTCTGTGCCTGACAGCTCATTAGAAGAATTAATTTACTCCAGCGTTTGCAGTTTAAAGGACATTATTTACTGGTTAATTGTTGTTATTACAAAATGTTAAATATCATTATTTATTTCCCAGGCCTTGACAGCTTCTCTGACAGCAATGTATTGGGGGGGGGCGTATCCCCCCCGTGGGCGGGGCAGTGTTGGGGGGCGGGTACCCGGAGTCCGGGGTCTCTGGGGAGGGCTGGCACTTTAGGAGGTAGAAAACCAGAGGGTCTGGCTGCTGCTGGCCCACCCGAGGAAGAGGACGCCCTGCATTGCTCCTCTTCCTACCTCCCATTCCAGCCCACTGATGGGGGGGAGGGGCAGTGGCAGACAGGACATGCCCTTGGCCTGTAGCTGCAGCCTGGGCCTCAGGGGGGTGTTGCCAGTGGCCCTCTGGCCAGAGAGAGGCCCAGACCCCGCCTTCCCCATCTCACAGAATGGCAGGGCTGGGAGGAAGCTCAGTGGTCAGCTGGTGCTCCCCCTGCAGACTGGTGGCTTCCAGGCTGGGAATGGCTTACAGACTTGAGCTTGACCTGTTCAGGAGCCTTCACACAAAAACTCCAGGGACCTGGCTTCTCCTGAAAGATCAGAAATCGTTGCCAGACTTGGCTCACAGTCTTGCTGCCACTGGGGATGATCGGCTGGCAGGGAAGGGCAGAGCCGGTGCAGGGCCACGCCTGTGCATTCCATCCCTGGCCCATGAGCACCTCGAGTCTTCAAGCCCTGTCTGCACTCACACTCGCATATACATGAAGAAACTGAGCCCAGAGAGGTGGAGTTGGCAACGGGCAGGGCCAGTGCCCACACTGCCTTCACTCTACCTGCTGCCCCCCACCCACCAGTGTCTCTGCCCCTACCTCCTCAGGGTCTGCCTTGGGGCCAGGAACAAGAGGCAGCTTGGTGAGAATTTACAGGGCTCACAGCTCTGTAAGTAGCAGTCATTCATTCACTCCACAAGGTGTTTCTGAGGACCTCCTATGTGACATACAAACGTGGTCTGGGAGTGGGTGTTTGGCACAGGAGTTAAGATGCCTCTTGGGATGTCCGTATCAGAGTGCGTGCTCTGTCCAGGTCCCTCTGCTCTCAGTTCTGGCTTCCTACTAATGTGCACCCTGAGAGGCAGCAGGTGATGGCTTAATTGGGTCCCTGGGAGGCCAGGGTGGAGTTGTGGGCTCCTGGCTTAGACCTGGTCCAGCCCTGGCTGTTACAGGCATTTGGGGAGTGATCCTGTGAATGCAAGTCTCTCTGTCTTGTCTCTTAAATAAAAACAAATAAATAATTTAAAACATGATTTGGACACAAATCTTATCCTCAAGGAACTGGGTCTGCTGAGACAGTATGGAGCAAGCTCTGGATTACAGGACAGGGAGAGGTGAGAGTAACAGAGGCACAGGCAGGCCGGGAGGGGGGCTAGGAGGGAGGCTTCCCCAGGGAGGGAATTAATTCTTTATGGAGCATTTTCTAGGCTGAGTGGACTGCTTGTGTCCTCACACACAGATACACGTGTCTTGTTTAATCTTCACAACACGGCTGATGGAAAATATCTGTCATCAGTCAATAAGCAGCGGCTATGCCAAGGCTTTAGAGAGGCGCCGGCCTGCTGTCTGGATCCTTCCCCGCTGGGGATGCCCAGCCTCGGGGGCCCCTGCTCTGACTGGCAGCAGCGTCGTGGGACAGTCTGTTGACCACCACGTGCGTCACCAGGCCAGTCTGAGGGACAAGGCTGATCACCTTCATTTTACAAGGGAGGAAGCTTGGCTCAGCGACCGACAGCAGGCGCCAGGTGCTGACAGGTGAGATGAGCCTGGGAAGGAGAGGGGATTATTGTCCGAGACGAACACGCAGTCCTGGGAAGTGTGGCTTCTGTGCGCAGACTTCAAACAATGACCTCCTAGACAAGGTCTTAGGTCCCATCCTTTCCTCCCCAGGCCCCTGACTGCAGCAGGTAGCCTCGAGGAGAATCTGGAGAACCAAAGGGAGATGAAAAGTACTTTGAAAAAGTACGAGAATGGGCTCAACCAAGCCATGGCTGTTGCTATAGATTATTAGAAAGTTATTCCTGGCTGGCAGCCTGGTTTATTTTAGACCCCACCTCATTTCCTCCAGGTTATAGGCCCCAATTCCTCGCCTGGTGAGACAGAAAGAGCCTGGCACCATTGGAGTGAACCCTGAGCAGATTCGGAAACTGGAACGGCAGCTCAAGGAATTGTACAGATTCTCAAAATACCAGGGCTCGCCGTCCTTTGGAGGTCTTCTCCACCAGCCCCCTCATTTTATTTTACTGCCATATTAAATTTTTAAAAAATTTTATTCATTTTTGGAATATGTAATACGTGCCCAAGGTGCAAAATTCCAGGGCATCAAAGAGTATACTGTGATAGTCTCTCCCATTCCTCAGAGCAGCCAGCGCCATCCATTGCTTGTCTTTCACTGTATTTAAAAATAGAATTGTTTCCTTTTTCTGTTCATGTAGAAAATACAATAATTCCTGCAGGAGAAAATAAAAAAATCATAAGCAATCCAGCTTCTAGAGCTGAATACTCACATTTTGGTGTATAATCAGCCAGCCTTTTCTCTTTGCATAGACACATGCATCTATATTTACAAACTCGCATAACCTGTTTTTGCTACTTGTTTACATTAAATATGATCTTTGAAAACAAGGATTGGAGAGGATCCATGCTGAACTGATGGCAGTGGGCACCTTAGGGGCAGTAATGGGAGTGGGTTAGGAAGGGGATTTGACTTTCTCTTTGCTGTTTGAAATTGCTTTTGTAGGCCAGTGCCGCGGCTCACTAGGCTAATCCTCCGCCTGCGGCACCAGCACCCCAGGTTCTAGTCCCGGTTGGGGCGCCGGATTCTGTCCCGGTTGCTCCTCTTCCAGTCCAGCTCTCTGCTGTGTCTGCCCAGCTCTCTGCTGTGGCCCCAGGAAGGCAGTGGAGGATGGGCCAAGCACCCACATGGGAGACCAGGAGGAAGCACCTGGCTCCTGGCTTTGGATTGCCGTAGCGGCCATTTGGGGGGTGAACCAATGGAAGGAAAACCTTTCTCTCTGTCTCTCACTGTCTAACTTTGCCTGTCGAAATAAAAACATGAAAAAATGACGACGAAAATGATAAAAAAAGAAATTGCTTTTGTAATGAAATTATATTTATATGCTACTTCCTCCTGATAATCTTCTAGAATCTGATTTTGTTAACAAATTATTCATTTTTAAAAATGTCTTTTTTTTTTTTTCAAAGGCAGAGAGACAGAGGAAAAGAGAACGAGGTAGAGAGAGATCTTCCATCAACTGACTGCCTGCAACAGCCAGGACTGGGCCCGGCTGAAGACAGGAACTGGGAGTTCATTCCAGGTCTCCCATGTGGGTGGCAGGGACCCAGTACTTGAACCATCACCTGCTGCCTCCCAGGGTGCACATTAGCAGGAAGCTGTAAGGTGAAGTGGAATTGGGACTTGAACTTGAACTCCTATACTCGGGGCATCTTAACCACTGTGCCAAACAGACCTAGAATCTGATTTTATTTTTGTTTTAATTAATGAATTTACTTGAAAGGCAGGGTGACAGAGAAAAAGAGAGAGACAGAGGGGTCTTCTATTTGCTGGTTCACTCTCCAAATGCCTGCAACAGCTGAGGATTGGCCAGGCTGAAGCCAGGAACCAGGAACTCCATCTGGCTCTCCCTTGTGGGTAGTTGGGACCCAAGTATTTTGGTTGTCATCTGCTGCCTCCCAGGTGCATTAGCAGGATGTTAGATCAGAAGCCGAGGAACTGGGACTTGAGGCCAGACACTCTGTGCTACAATGCCCACCCCTAGAATCTGCTTTCAAATGTCTGCATCGAAGGCTACTATTTAACCAATCCTTTATTATTGTGATTTAAAAAGCTGACTTATTTATTTGAAAGGCAGAGCATGTGTGTGTGTGTGTGTGTGTGGGAGAGAGAGAGAGAGAGAGCGTGCGCGCCTCCATCCACTGGTTACTTCCCAAGTGGTCTCAACAGCCAGGTCTGGGTCAGGCTGAAGTCAGAGCCAGGAACTCCATCTGGGTCTCCCACATGGTGCCAGGGGCCGAAATACTTGGACATCTTGGGCTGCCTTCCCAGGCCATTAGCCAGGAGCTGGATCAGAAGCAGAGCAGCTGGAATTCGAACTGATGCTCCAATATGGAATTACTAGTGGCATTTTTAACCCACCGTGCCCCAACACTGGCTCCTATTATTGTGATTTTTAAGGTGTTGCACATTTTGCTGTTACAAACAAAGCTGGAGCAGACATTTTTGTACATCTTTGCAGGCTTGTTCAATGTGTCCTTGGGGCAGTTTATAAGGAATGGAATTGCTGGGTCAGAGAGAATGTTTACTTTAAGGCGTTTTGATCCATCCTGTAAAATTCCCTCGCTTCTGGGCAGTTTCCATTTCCTGTTCCACCAGCAGTGCTTGCTCCCCAACTCCCATGTAAATTTGTTCAGCATAGCACACATTTAAGGTTTGTGGGGTTCTAGGGCAAATTGATGGGAAACTGGCACTGTCTTCTCTGGGTACAGACCCCTGGGGTGCTGGCAAAAGCCTCAAGGGTTCTCAGTGGCCAAAGGGAGATCAGAAAGATCAAAGCCTGGGGGGTCAGCGCTGTGGCATAGTGGGTAAAGCCTCTGCCAGCAGTGCCGGCATACCATAAGGATGCCGGTTCAAGTCCCGGCTGCTTGGCTGCTCCACTTCCGATCCAGCTCTCTGCTATGGCCTGGGAAAGCAGTAGAAGATGGCCCAAGTCCTTGGGCCCCTGCACCCACATGGGAGACCCAGAAGAAGGAAGCTCCTGGCTTCAGATCGGCACAGCTCTGGCCATTGTGGCCTACTGGGGAGTGAACCAGCGGATGGAAGACCTTTCTCTCTCTGCCTCTCCTCTCTCTGTGTAACTCTGACTTTCAAATAAATAAATAAATCTTTAAAAAAAAAAAAGATCAAGGATTGGGTGCAGAACCCTTAGGCAGGTGGGGCAGGGGCCTCCACTAGTCCAAATCACGTCCTGCAGCAAGCTCCCGAAGTTGATCCAGATCCTTCCTGAGGGCTCCAGGCACCAGGGTGGGTGTAGCTCCAGCGTCTGCACGGCTTTGCAGAGCCAAAGGCACACCTGAGTGGGCTCCTCTTAGATCAAGTTCATGTGCCACATGGAGGACCTCCCAGGATCAACGTCTCAGCTCCTGCCTCCTCTGTCAGTCCTCTCTGATTCCAAGTGCTTGTCAATGCCCAGTTCTTGTGGGTTTTACCTGTAGCCTTTTCACCCTTAGATTCTCTGGCAAGTTGACCCATCTCATTTGGAGAGCTCTGGGAGAAACAAGATGGACACAAGGTGGACTTGTTGATCCAGACAATGGCTTTCAGACAGCGCCCCTCTGCTCCGGAGCCTGGCATCTCACGGTTTCCTCTTGATGGGGCGCAAAGAGAAAGCCTAAGATTGCGTCTCATTGGTGAGATGAATAATACATTTGAAGCATCTCACAAACTGTGTTTGATCCGCCTAAAGCCTCAACCGTTAGCGTATTTTTCTTTATCCCCAGCAAGGGAGGGCTGGGAACTGTCAACATTTTCCTTTCTGCCTAATTTGTGCTTTCTCCATAAAAAGAAAAACAGGGGCTGGGGGAGGAAAGGAGGCAGGGGAAGAGGGCGGTGACACACACTCCATGGAACAATGCAATGAGCCATAGGACTTGGGGGGTGTTCCTGGGAGCCCTTGGCATGGCCAGCACAGAGCGAGAGGAAGGAGGCTCCAGGCAGAGGGGCTGTGCTGTGCATGGTGTGGGGGGGGGGCTCTTCAGGGGCCTCTGTGCCCCTCAGAGGCTGGACCCTGGGAGGGCTGGTCTCCAGTGTTTCTGCTCCGAAGTCAGAGTGGGAAGTTGAGGCTTGTCACTTGCTAAGCACCAAAGGTGCTTCCATTATCTCCTGAGAAGCAGAGGCTATGGGTGTGGGCAACAGCCACTGACTGAGCTCAGAGGCCAACGGTGACCCTGTGTCTTAGCCTACATGCTTCCAGTCCCCTCATGTCTCTCTGTCTTGGTGCTAAGAATCCTATTCAGGGACCAGTGCTGTGGTATAGCAAGTGGGGCTGCTGCTGAGGTGCTGGCATCCCATGTAGGTGCCGGTTTGAGTCCCAGTTGTTCCATTTTCTATCCGGCTCTCTGCTGTGGCCTGGGAAAATGGTGGAGGATGGCTTAAGTCCTTGGGCCCTTGTACCTGCATGGGAGACCTGGAGGAGGCTCCTGGCTCCTGGCTCCGGACTGGCGCAGCTAGGGCCCTTGCAGCCATTTGGGGAGTGAACCAGCAGATGGAAGACCTCTCTGTAGCTCTGCCTTTCAAATAAATAAATAAATCTTAGAAAGAGAGAGAGAGAGAGAGAGAGAGAGAACCAAGAATCCTGTCCAAGGTTGCAGTGAGGGGAAGGGTTGGGCTGTCTGGTCCCAAAGTTCATGTTCTTCACCGCAGTGCTGCTCTCCTTCTGAGTCTCCCATCCTTTGCCCAAGCTGCCTGCTGTTCTGGACAGGAGTAGAGAGAGGTGGGTAAGAGCCCAGGTTCTGGAGTGGGGGTGCTTGGAATCCTGGCTCCTTCACGTAACCTTCAATACACCTCCGCTTCCGCACGTATAAGATAGAGATGTTGACCATGGTACCGACGTCAGGGGTGCAGCAAGGATTAAATAAACAAATATCCTCAGGTTCTGCAGCAGTGCCTACAGGGTAGGGCACAGTGTGGAGGCATTAGCTCTTATTCCCAGCCTATTTCCTGCACAGCCAAGTAGCAGCACGCCACCCCTCCTCTCCAAGCTGACCTTGAACCTAGTCCATCTTCCCTCCCATCTCCATCCCAACCCTCCTGATTTCTTAGCCCCTTCCTCCTCTGCCCAGCCCGGCTTAGAGCCCCGCCATCAGCCCTTCTTCCCCAGTGCTCTCATTCCTGCAGGCTGCCCTGTGACTCCCTAGTGTGCTGGTGACACACATCAGACTTTGTCGGGTATTTTGATCGATTTCTATTAAGTCCTCTCATTCCCGAGGACCTTTCAGATTTTCATGCCTCTGTTATCTCCTGCAATAGCCAGTTCAGGAAACACCCAGTCTGTGGTGACCCAGCAGCCCACTTTTGCAGGCAGGAGAGTGCTGATGGAGATGACTTCGCTGGGAGGGAAACAAGGCAGATAGTCCCCGCTGGGGAAGGGATGAGGGATGGAAGATCCAGAGTGATTCCCCTAATAACTGACAGTGCGTCTCCATTCTAAGCCTCACATTGCTGTATTTCACAGACTTCCTGTCTTAGCTCCCTGTAGAGAAGCCATGCATTGTGTCTGCCCCAGGTCCCTCCAAATGCAGCAGCCATTGGGTCCTATGCACAGCTGCCCACCTGCAAAGAAACACCTCAGAGTTCTCAAGGAGCAGAAGCTACTTGGAAAAGCTGCATAAGGAGAGGATCTCTTGAAAGTGTGGGTGGTAGTGTGTGGTCCTGGGGAGGCAGGACCTCTCCCGGCAGGGCAAGGCAGTCCCAGGGGTCCCCAGCAGCCTGGCCTGCATGCCTGCCCAGTGCCCCCCAAGCCCTTCTGTTCAGGCCTGGCATCCTACGGAGGTGGCATTCCTCTCAGGAGCTCAGAGCACAGCTGGGGAGGCGGGCATTGCTGGAAAATCGATTTGCGGGAGCAGCGGGGGCTTTCTCTTCCTCCTGACTTCCCTGGTCTTTGATCTGCTGCCCGCCCTCCATAGTCCCGGTTCTTCCCTCCTCCTGCCCGCCATCTCTCCCTCTTTCTCTTCCTTCAGCCTGATCCGCAAGAGGGGAAGCAGGCAGGCAGTTTGCTGACCACTCGCCTTCTCTGGGGGTGGGAGAGGCGTCCAGCCTCGCACCCGAGTCAGGGACACGACATGGCCATGGTGAAAGGACACACGCGCGTGCACACACACGGATTTGAAAAGCAAGAGCTGAAAGGGAGGAATACCGAGAAAGAGGGGGAGTGGCAGAGAGAGAAAGACAAGATCAGAGCATCAGAGAGACAGTGA